TGGAGCCTCCTCTTACCTTCCTTGCTTTTAAGCAGTGCGAGTCTGCGCCGGCTGCTTAAAGCAGGGATGCAGAAGCTGGCGGCATCCCGTTTCTTTCCTGGCATAAAGCGCGTCTCTCTGCTCCCTTCCACAGCAGGTGCCCCAAGCCTGCCATACACGTCTTCCCGCTGCCGCGACTGACTCCTCTTCCTCTTCTTTTTCAGTGAGGAAGAGAAGACTCGCAGAGTTGAACGGGCCTATTTTTCCCAAGTGCAGAACTGGTGTGTAGTTCCTGGCTACGGAGGTCATTCCCAGTGATCCGTGCTACACTGTGGAGACCTGAAGGCAATTAAGTGCCTTGATGACGGAGTGCTGGTGGTGCCTGGGTTCTGTTTTATGCACTAACAGATTAAATTAACGAGCCGCTGTAGTCACAGACTTTATCCCGTAGGGCTGTTGGTGTTTTCTGTGGCTGGGAAACCATCAAACCCTGTTTTCTGTGGCTGAAAACCACTCAAGCCAGCAACACCCTCCTGATCTCACGCCGTCTAAGCAAACCCCCGTGTCAAAGCGACTCTTCGTTAACCTGGGACCTAGTAACCCTTCTCTAAACCTGCTGCACCGGCTTTCAAACAGGTACAGCAGGGTGTGCCTGCGTGAAAGACACAGCTGTTCCACACAAGTTAGGCAAGTATTAAAAAAATACTTTATTTTCTTTCCAAATTGATCCCCAGTAACTACACTGCAGCAACCAGTTTAACAAGCAGTTCTGCTGCCCAGAAGCACGTCTGGTTCCAAAAACTGCCAAGTGTTTGCCCACATCTGCCGAGCCCCTTAGCTGGCGATGCCGTTCCAAACACATCCCGCGTCTCTTACAGGAAAAAATTGATTTCCACCCCCTGCTTAAATGGCACTTAAGGCCACCCATGATGAAACAGTCTCAAACCCCGAACTGTTCAGGGTGGGTTAACATCTGTCTGAAGAAACCAGTCACCTTCCGAGACGGGATGCAAATCCTAACCCTGTGGAGATGGCCCAACCAACCAGCACAGCAGGGCCCTCTCCTCTCACGTCCACTCCTGTCAGCTCTTGAACAAGGTGTGTGCCCAGACAGTGCCTGGAAACAAGTCAAATTCCCTCTCTCCGCTCCTTTGTCTAGACGGCCAGGTCCATTGATCAGATTCTGTTCTGCTGGGGGTTGTTTCTTTTGCCGCTGCCCCCAATGTCTGCGTAAGTGCAACAAGAACAGTTGCGTCCTAGGAAAGCCGTGAAGCGAAACCACCCCAGCGCTGCCCTGACACCACGCACAGTCTGACAGATCGGGACCTGCTTACCGGCCCCGTTCGCATTAGCCTGTGTCGGGTTAATGAAACGGCTTAATCTTTCCCTGCGTCCAGCGCCCGGTGCGAGAGCTGTTCAACAGGCACCCTTGGCCGTCTCTTTGTACACTCACATTCCTCCTTAAGTGCCTGTCCGGAAGCCCGTGACATCACCGTGAGCTCCTTCTCCTGACAAACAGGACAGCAAGCTGTAAGACCTTTGTTGCGACACCCTGGACACGTCAGGACAAGCTGCCGGCAGTGCTGGCTGGAACAAAGTTTATACTGGTCCCACAGCGTCCCACAGTACCTGCACGCTGGAGGGAGGAGGAAAGGAAAATGTTAACACCCACTTGCCCTTTCTGTCCCCCTTGCAGAGGCTTCTCCGTGGCACCAGGGGGCTGCAATCCCTCATTTAAGTGGCTGGCGACCGTCTTCCAGGGTTTGGATTCCTGCTTTAGCTTGATCTTCCAGAAAGTAGTGCATTCTTGAGCTTATTTTGACGTAAAAAACCCCTTACGACAGTTGTCACTCAGGACAAGGAAAAAAGTGCTCACTTTCCCTAGATTTAAAGATTCTTGTTGCCAAAAGAAGAAAGATGTATGGGTGGTAATTACACCAGTACGCAGGAACGTTGCCTGCTGGGGAAGGGGGTGCTATGGGAGTCCCTTCCACCTAAAAGCAATGGCTTGTGCAGTCGGGGTGTCACTGGCGGTCCCAGGGGAGTCCTTCCGCAACACCAGACAGGTTTTCACCCTCTGACTGACTGCTGGGGCCCAGTTCAGCCGTACCGCCGAGGAGGGGCCTACCTCAACCCTTCCCCCTGAAGCTCTGGCTGTGGTGCGTCCAGTTTCTCTGTTTCTGCACCAAGCCAGGCACCTTCAAGGTGTGTATGGTAGTTGCAAAGGAGGAATGGGAGGTATGCTCAGAGGAAAACCAGCACTGCTTCCTAGAAAAGGCTAGAGCCAAATTCTGTCTATCTGAACCTGGCAACTGAGAAGAAGGAAGCCTGATTTTTCATTGCCAGCCTCCGAAGAGCGCCCCCAGCCAGAAAACCAGACAACGTTCTTACCTTCAGCTGGAGGTCACTGAAATGCTCCGGGCTGCAGAAACTGGTGAAGTGTGAAAATAGCCAACTGCTGCAGAGCTTGGTGCCACCCCCCTCCCAGTGCCCAGCGGCCCACGCTGCTGCTCTGCGGGATTACCGGAGCCCAGGACAGCTGACAGCAGGACCATTTAATGCTTCGGTCACTGTTTAGTCACCCCCTTTTCCCTCATTTCTGTCTTGCGCGTTAAAGCTATGGAGTTGACGATCACCACGAAAAGGGACGGCACTAACAGATCGAAGCCAGCATGAGGAAGAACTACACAGGCCACTTGGGC